GCTGCGAACCCAGCTGATTTCTTATTCCTACACAGTGAGTTCCTGTATTGGGTTGAGCTGTGAGTTCTGACCAAGAGTCAATGAAAAGAGGAGATCAGGAGTTCTAACGACTGCTATTTTCTTTCACCTAGTTTAGTCTTCTTATGCTTCTCCACCCAAGTACGAGTAACAGTAGAGAGACAATAGAGAAGACATGTAACAAAAATAAAAAGTCTTACTAACCCACTGTTGGTGGGAATGCAAACTGGTAAAGCCACTATGGAAGTCAGTTTGGAGATTCCTCAGAAACCTGAATATAACCCTACCATATAACCCAGCCATACCACTCCTTGGAATTTACCCAAAGGAATTTAAATTGGCAAATAAAAGAGCTGTCTGCACCTTAATGTTTATTGCAGCTCAATTCACAATAGCTAAAACATGGAATCAACCTAAATGCCCATCAACAGAAGACTGGATAAAGAAATTATGGGACACGTAATCTATTGAATACTATACAGCAGTAAAAACAATGAAATCTGGTCATTTGCAACAAAATGGAGGACAATGGAAAACATCATGCTGAGTGAAATAAGCCAGTCCCAAAGGGACAAATATCATATGTTCTCCCTGATCGGTGACCACTAACCAAGCACCGAAAAGGAAACCTGTTGAAGTGAGATGGACACTATGAAAAACAATGACTTGATCAGCCCTGTCCTGACTGTCAAGGAACAACTTAATACATTATCCCTCTTAGTATTTTTTTGTTCTACTTAATACTATTAGTTGAACTCTTTAATTAACACAATTATTCTTAGGTGTTTAAATTTAACTAAAAAGTGATCCCTGTCAAATATAAGAGTGGGAATAAGAGAGGGAGGAGATGTACAGTTGGGCACATGCTCAATCAGACTCGCCCTGAACGGTAGAGTTAGATTCCTGGGGATTCCAATTCAATCCATCAAGGTGGCATGTACCAATGCCATCTCACTAGTCAAAGTGATCAGTTTCAGTTCACAATTGATCATAATGATAGGATTAAGTGTCAAAGGGATCACTAGCGTCTGCTAATATTAACTGATAGAATAAAAAAGGGAGAGAACGATCCAACATGGGAATCGAGATACACAGCAGACTCATAGAATGGCAGATGTCCTAAACAGCACTCTGGCCTCAGAATCAGTCCTTAAGGCATTCAGATCTTGCTAAAAAGCCCATGAGAGTATTTCAGGCATGGAAAGCCAAGACACTCTGGCAAAAAAAAAAAAAAAAAACAAAACCTAAGTGAAAGATCTCTGTGAGTGAGATCCCAGTGGAAAGAAAGGGCCATGCCATCAAAGAAGGAGGTACCTTTCTCTGAAGGGAAGACAGAACTTCCACTTTGACTATGACCTTATCTAAAAAGATCGGAGTTGGCGAACTCAAAAGGCTTCCATAGCCTTGGCAACTCATGACAAGAGCCTAGGGTGATTACTGATGCCATAAATAAGAGTGTCAATTGTTAAATCAACAACAGGAGTCACTGTGCACTTACTCCCCATGTAGGATCTCTGTCCTTAATGTGTTGTACTATGTGAATCAATGGTATAACTAGTAATCAAACAGTATTTTACACTTTGTGTTTCAGTGTGGGTGGAAATGGCTGAAATATTTACTTAATAGATACTAAATTGATCATCTGTATATAAAGATAATTGAAAATGAATCTTGATGCGAATGGGATGGGAGAGGGAGGGGGAGATGGGAGGGTTTATGTAGGAGGGAAGTTATGGGGGGGCGGAAAGCCACTGTCATCCATAAGCTGTACTTTGGAAATTTATATTTATTAAATAAAAGTTAAATAAATATATAAAAATTCTTTGCATTTGTTTATAGATCAGTGCTTATTTGCACTCTTCTGCATAATATATAACTCCAGTTTAAAATTTCAGCTTTTACTTTAAGTCAATAATTAAAATCAATTCCAGGAAAATGTATCATCTTTACTTTGTGATTCCACACGACCTTGGGTACAGAGTTTACAAAACTGAGCACTAAAGGGCTTTGGTTTTCCTGGTCATCACTGAATGATGTTTCTCTGAATATGTTTCTCTGATTCTCTCAACAAAATTAACTTTCTTAGCACGTTAAGTGTTTCAGTCAGAATTCAAAAATAATTTCCAAAGTCTAACCTTGCCTCTAATTGCTGAATTAGAACTTGAGATACTCTTTCTATACCGTGCTCGAAGTTCAGGAACTTATCCTTGTTGACTTGTTTTCCTCCCAGTGCTGCATTCATGGTTCTGAACAGAAAATGCTCTAACAGGTTGAGAAAACCTGCTGTCATCTGTGTCACTGCCTTCCCGGCAGAGAGACTCCCAGACCTTGCTTGGAGACCACTCCAAGGCTGACCACACGGGATACACAGAGTCCATGCTGTAAGAAAGTGTGAATGGAGCAGCCACAGAAATTCTATCCTTCAGGTAAGTCCCGTGGGCAAAGAGATGCTAGACACAGCCCAGTGCCTCAGGCTTTCCACATTCATGCCTCCTTTCCATCTTAGTTCCTTCGTAAAAGCACTATCAAAGGGAAGGGAAAAGTGTCCACTAGAAATTTTGAGAAAAACAAATTTTTGGAAGTCAAATGCAAATGACTACTTATTATATGATTTCATTCATATGAAAGTGTCTCAAACTGGAAGATTTGTGGAAGCAAAACACATCTATAGTTGCCCAGGGCTAATGACAGGAGCACAGATTAACTGCAAATGGGCATAAGAGAAATTGGGGGTAAATATTCTGAAATGTGATTTTTGTGTTGTTTCGACAACTGTATGCATTTAATTCAAGTAACTGTCCTGTGAGTTTCCAGCAGGTAAATTTCATGCTATGGCAATTATGCCTAAACAAAGCTGCTTAAAAAAAAAAAAAAGACAACTCCAGAGTTTGGAAAGAAAGGCCATTTCAATTAGGCTTTTAATAATCCACATACGAAGAGAAATATCTGGCCAACTAGAAATAAAGAGAGTAAAAATTGGACATTCTCTAAAAGAACTGAACTGGGCCAGTGCTGCAGCTCAATAGGCTAATCCTCCACCTGTGGCGCCAGCACCCCGGGTTCCAGTCCCGGTCAGGGCGCCAGATTCTGTTCCGGTTGCTCCTCTTCCAGGCCAGCTCTCTGCTGTGGCCCGGGAGTGCAGTGGAGGATGGCCCAGGTCCTTGGGCCCTGCACCCGCATGGGAGACCAGGAGAGGCACCTGGCTCCTGGTGTCAGATCGGCACTGTGCGCTAGCCATGGCGGCCATTGCGGGGGTGAACCACCGGAAAAAGGAAGACCTTTCTCTCTCTCTCTCTTTCTCTCTCTCACTGTCCACTCTGCCTGTCAAAAGAAAAAAAAAAAGGAAAGAAAAAGAAAAAAAGAACTGAACTGATGCCAAAACAAGCATAATTTAATCTACCTGAGAAATGGGGTTTTTATACAGATGTAAGAATTTCTTCTTTTCTGTTAATATATATGGAATGTTTGCCAAAAATGTAAAGCTTGGTTTCCTTAGTTTGTTATTCCAAGAATATGAGGGCAGTTTGACAAGTTCATGGAAAAATGGAATAGAAAGATGAGGGTTATTTTGGTGAGAATTTTGAAATCTATGCATAATTTTTTCATAATTCACATTTTCCATGAAATTTGTGATGACCACTCATACATCTCGCATCACAAAGAAAAGGCTAAACTAGCACCTGTAAAAGTCCCAATAGGATGGAATAAACAAGTCACTGAAACATAGAAGATGAATTATTTCCTTTTCTTTCTCTGTTTCCATTTCTGCAGACAGACTAACAAGGGAAGAACCAAAAAGTGAGGAGATGATATTAAGAATTACAGGTGTTAGATGTTTAGTTAATCCAACATTCTCTTGCTGGGTACACTTGGAGACTGCGTTTTTCAGCTGCATTTCACATTAGGATGGAACAAAATACAGGCAGAAGTGATGTATGGCATTTCCAGACAAGGCAATGCAACACACTGCACAACCGTCCAGACTGTGTGTTCTCTACAGCTGGGTGTGAAGCACGCCAAGGGGGTAGACCCACCTCCTGCAAAGATCCTTGACCTCCGATTTCCTTCTTAGAAGAGCTCTGTCCTGCCCAAAAGGCATTAAACACAAAGGAAATAAACATTTCCTCTGGGGAGTCACTGAAATCGTGGGATAGCTTGTTACAACAGTTAGAGTTACTTAACCTAACTAGCATATAGCACTATGGCACTCAAAGCCGATTTCTCCCTCTTTTTCTTTCATGATCCGAGCCTATTCACCTCATGTTCATCCACCCTATTTGCTTCTGTTCCTCTTCCTTCTCACCTCCAGGTAACAGTCACTGCTGAGACAAAGGAAGAAAGGCCCAAGAAGTTCTCACCTGCACCCAATTAGGACCCATCTTCAAGAGTGGGATATTTGAGTGCAATAAACTGAACATAGTAGACGTAAATTCTTTTTTCAACAGAGATAAGAGTGCATCTCAAGCCTTTGGTTAAAAACTTGCATTACCATCAAGAACAACATTTTAACCACCTTTCCCCCTTAAAAGCCCCCTGCAGTGATTAATGCCAGGAAAGAAAAAGAGTTGGCAGCCACCTCTGGGTCCTGAACTTTGCTTCTATGATCTGAAGCTATTGGTAATGGAGAAGTGCATGCTGGTTGCTCTAACGCTTTTTTTATTCCACCCCAAGAGTTATTTCCAAGAGACAATAAATTAGCATTTCCATTCATTTCCAGGTTATCTCATGACCACATGCCCTCTCCTCCTCTGCATATACAACAAAGGCAAGGAAAGAAGAGAGGACCTGCTCCAGTTCAGAATCCACACCTAAGCCACTTAGCCCTTTTCATCACCCCAGCCCCTCATGCTGTCAGCCCCAATCTCCCCCAACTCCACTGTCAAAAAATAAAATAATTCAAATAAAAGACAGTTCATAAAACAGTAACCAAAATAAAGTCAATTTTTTTTTAAGAACAAAATGAAACTTGAGGGAAAACTTACTGGAGTTACAGTTTATCCTGATACAGTCTAGATGGGGAAAAATAAATGAAAGATGAAATTGCATCCTTCAAGGTAACAGCTGCAGACATCCAAAAACAATCAGTCCACCCTTCCGGGGACAGACACACGCAAGAAATGTGGCCATTTTATATAAATATACAGTATGCACATGTTTAGGGGTGGGTGTATATGTACAGTATATTATTCAGTAAAGTTGGATACATATATATATACACACACACACATATATATATATACACATATGTATAGAGATATATACTGGTATACATATATATCCACAATAGACACCAAGCATGTTTTCTTTTTTTCATCAAAAAACCTAATGATTTATATAAAGTACTTTAAACCTGGACTTTGAAATATTAATTTGGTTAAACTTGGAAAATGAGGCAAAAATTCCCCACCAAATGTAGGTTCAATTATATTTACCCATTAGTTTCCTTAAAATTTATCTTTAAAGCTAGCATTAATGTAATTTTCATATTCGTTTTGCAAAAATATGAAACCTGTGTGACACATTGTATCAATTTACAATTCTGCCCATCAAGTCTCTCAGTGCAGTATTTAACCCTTTCTCTTTTTTTAAACACAAACTCCCTCCACCCTCTCCTTAGGTAGGGCCCCGAATGCTACAGAAATTTGCACAGGCAGGCTTGCCATCCTCCTGAGAGGTAAGGAAAGGGTTAACACCACCTGGTCATTTCCTGTCATAAAATGGCCACTTGCAAACAGCTAACCGCACAAACACCCATCCCAGATTTTAGAGAGGAGGGGCCAGGTGTAGGGGAGAGGGATAGTCAGATATGGGGACAATTTATTGGGCTGATTGCTAGTAGGTCAAAGGCCCCCAAGCCAACCCACTCCCCATGCCCATCTCGTCTTCCGGCCTGAATACTCAGACTGAATCAAGTGCCTACAGCATTCAGGGGAAGGTGAGACAGGCACGTGTGGGAGAGGTCTTGAGCACCTTTGACCTCCTACCTATTTTACCTGGTGATTCTGCCTCTCTAGGGGAGGAGACTCTTTAATTTTGGCTTTTTTTTTTTTTCAATGAAAAAAGTGGAAATAAATGGGTAGTTAATGGGTACTTAATTATAAAACAGGGAGCTCTTTGTCCAGTGCTGGCAACTGGACAGAGCACTCTGTGCCAGAGATCAGAGAACCTACCAATTTTATTCATCTCTCTTTGAAAGTCAGGTGCACACACCATAAAAATCCTTGCGGATAGCAGTGGCTTCTAGTAGGGGATTGGGCAGAAATGGTCAGAGAAATATCTCCAGTTAACTGTTAACCACACTGCCTGGTTAAATCTAAGGTTGGCTTGTGATGGTGGGAATTCCAACAAGAATTTGTGTGAAGTCAGGTATTAAAAGGGAGAAATCAAACAACAAAGAAAAGGAAGAAAGGCACAGGGGAGAATGCCATTCCGATTGTTCTTCTGTTTCAGTTGGTACAATGGTGTCCAGAGGGAAATCACTTTAAGGGAGCAACCAACAGGGCAGAATGAAACTACGTGGAATCTGCAGAGCGGCAATTTATAACAACACCCGATCATTCTGAGGAAGTAGGCAGGGAGCTTGGTGGTTCCCTAGAAAGACATCTCTTAAGAAAAATCTGGGTTTGGTTTCGTGCGGTTAGGTTTGTCATGTGTCGTCAACCGCAACAGAAAAGTGGGAGCAAACAGCCCTGGAGCAACCGGTACGATCACCAGACAGAGGAGGCCATGCCCCTGGCAAGGACTGGGAAGAGGAAGGGCAGGGAGGAACCAGGGGCATCTGCAACTCTTGGCACCTACCATCACCCGAGGTTGAGAACATCCCTGCCTGATCTATTGCAGGGAGAGGGGTAAGGGCACGCATCAGAGAGAAGCAGCTAGAGTGGGTGCAAAGCCACAAACTCAATGGCTTCCAGTAGAGCAACTGAGAACCATATTGTTAGTTAAAAGCATGGTCTAGGGAGAGGGTCTGGGTTGGGCTCCTTCTTCTAGGTCTTCCAAATGGGTCCAATGGAAGCCAATGGTATTTGAAGACTAATAGGAGGTCTTGAACGGCAGACAACTAAGTTGAGACATAAAGAATGATTGTGTTAATTCACTTGAGGAGTACGTAGTTTGAGGAGGAAAACCTTTCCTAGTGCCTTCTGCATACGCTCCGAGGGAGTGGTCTTGTAAGAGAGGATATACTTTTAAATAATGATCAAGTCACGGGAATGGACTTGGGGAGGAAACTTCCTTCTAGATCTGTTTTCAGGAAAAGCAAGAATTCTCCTTCTGCCTAAAAACAATCTGTCTGACTTTTGGTATGGTGTTTGACAGGTGTGTGCGTGCGTGTGTGTTGTCTGCTCAATTTAGTTTTTTGTTTTATTTTAGTAAATGAGGAGAATTGATTATTTTCCATATTGACGAGTTTTAGGTCAATCATGGAAGAGGTGAATATTTTTGAGTGTATATGAATTTCTAGCAAATCCAGAGAGAGAGAGAGAGAGGACCTGAGACTCCAAATGCAATTACAATTACACCAACAGTATGAAGCTCTCTTGGAGCATCCATCTCTGAAGGAAGGCTCTGAAGACCCTGCTGAGAATCCTAAAGGCTTTACCAGTATTGACTGGCTTTTCCGCTATGTGGCTCAATTAAACTGGGCGCTAAGGAAAGAAGAAATCCCTTGCATGTGCTTCAATGGGGACCATCATGAAAGCAGTGAGCAAGTCATTAAGACTGTCACATCATCGATCTCCCATATTGATCTGTGGAACTAACAGATAAGCCAGGCTGATCTAAGCAGTTCAGAGACATGAGTTCTAATCTCAATTCTGCTACCTATTTTTATGAAAGCTTTGAAAAGTCATTTATCTCCACATTGCACATTTGTAAAAGTGAAGTATACATTCTCTGGGTTTATCGCATGAAACTATTGTGAGATTAAATTAAGACATGGTCTTTTAAACCTTCAAATATACTAAAATAAAAAAAATATTATTAGAGAGGCAGGCGCTGGGCCCCTACACCCACATGGGAGACCTAGAAGCAGCTCCTGGTTCCTGGCTTCAGATAGGCTCAGCTCCGGTCATTGCAACCATTTAGGGAGTGAACCAGCTGATGGAAGACCTCTCTCTCTTGTTCTGTCTCTACCCCTCTCTGTAACTCTGCCTTTCAAATAAATAAATCTTTACAAAAAAATTCATGTTTTTTAATGCCTGTGGATCAAAATATGGTTGATCAACAGCCAATTCCACAATGTTTAAAAACATGCTGTTTTTCTCATACCTGCCACAACTACTCATGGCTGCTTCCAGAAAATAAAACCCTTGGAAAACTCTAGTTTGCTTGATGCTCAGAAATTATGTTACATTGGGGAAATAGATGCTAGGTTTTTAAATTATGTGCTTATGTGTGTGATCAGTTTAAAAGAAATTGGATTATCATTTGTGCATGTGCCTGAAAAAAGATCTAACTTAAATGGAGTGTGGGTACAAAGTGATTGTTTGAAATTAGTTTTGTGGAAATTCATGTGAATGCAAACTCTCCCTGGAGATTTTTTTCTTCTATGTACAAATTTATGTACATAGAGGATAAAATACCTATGAAGGCACGTATTTTGGGGAGATGGCAAAAGGAGAACCTTTGCACAAAGCATGGATGTGAAGATTTGAAAATCTGTAAGCACAAGGAATTTCAGTTCAGTCTTCCCCGTCAGGTTTGAAAGAATGTTAAATAAATTCAAACCAGTAATTGTGATGAACCATATATCCTTAGGCACAGGGCTGTCTTGGGCAGGGCTGACTCTCTTTTACCTAAAATATTTCAAATTCAGAGAGTTAGATTAACAGGGTGACAAAAGAAGCCAAAAGGCAACAGCAAAGTTATTTTGAAAAGGACTTTGACCAGAGTTGAAAAAGAAAAAAGTAATACTTCTAAACATGATGCATGTGCCAGGTGGGGGCAGGGGAAGAGATGAGAATCTATCTAGCTCCTTCCTATTTTGCTCGTTGTCCTCAAGCCCACCTCAATTTTTCTTTCTAGGATGTGATACCTATCACAGCTGACTTTCTAGTCTTTACAAAACACTATCTAATACAGAAAAAAATAGTCTGCTTAAAGACACCCTGTGCACTCCCCCGGGTCTCATGGGACTGACTCACCCTCATCCGTGGGTCTCTCTCCTACTTTAGAATAGATGCAGAGATAGCGACTGCCATCCTCTTTGCCTGTGAGAAGATAGGGGCTGTGTTTCATTTCTGACTTGTTTTTTCATCCTTCTGCTGTTTTTCAGAAAAGCAGGCCATCAGCCACTGGTTGTTGATCTCAGGGAATATACTCTTCTACCAGTTTGTGTGGGCAGGGAGGCTGGTTCAGGGAAGGGAAGGTAGGAGGGGCGGGGTATGCCAGTCCCTGTAGGCTGCTCAGTACTCTCTGTTCTCAAGGCTGTTTGCTATGCGGGCCGCAGGCTTTGGGCCTTTGAAGGGTTGAATACCATCTTTTGATTTACCATGGTTGATGGTGGGAAGGATTGAAAACTCAAGAACACACACAAAAAAAGATTTCAGCAAAAGAGAAAAACAAAAACAAAAATAACCAAATATACACATACACAAAGAAACCCAGAGACACATTGACAACAGAAATCAAATGAAATTGCACAAGAAAAAGGACACAGTGTTGTAAAAGCTGCAAACTAGGATAAAACAAACGACAGAACTAAATAAGCCACTGCTCAAAACAGTCCTTTGTGTCCTGAGACTTTAGCATTGTAGTGCTGGCATTTTCCAAGGGTGACCAGATGATCAGACAGAAGGTAAGCCTGGTATGGACTCCAACCCCTCCTTCTCATGTGGTTCTGCATCTGGTGCATTTGTCCATGGTGTCTTCTCCAGGCCTCTGAGAAGCCTTTCCACTAAAATCTTTACAAAGGAGCTTTGCATCCAAACACTTTCTACATGCCCAAATGAATCCATTAGCCGAGAAAGTTTGGACTCAGCTATATCACTAATCCTGTCAACATGGGACATTGACTTTCTGCTGAGTACAAACAGCAGAGATAGCAGAATTTTTTTTTCTTCCCTGAACCAGGAGGCTCCTGTTTTCCATAGACAATCAATTATAATTCCATAAAGAGGGTCAATAGCAGGAGAGAATAGGAGGTTCAAAACAGAATTTCCAAAGTATCTGCTACAGGAAATTACAATGAAAAGGCATATGCTATTCCAATAACACTGGAAATTTGAAAATTTTATAACTTTTCAAGTCCAAGGTAGAATGGTATTTATTGAGGAAGACGACAGAGTAATTGGTGAGCAACAGTCTGAGGTATGGTCTTTGTAGAAAGGACAATGGGGATACAAAGAGGGAGCCATGGTTCCCTTGCACCTGCCAGTTAAAGAAGTTAGAGAATTGTTATTCTACTGGGACAACAGAAGCAATCTGATTTGTCCCCCACTAGGACAAAGGGTAAGGAGACATTGCAGTCATCAGAGCGCCAGGAACCCCCATGTGAACAAGCACCATGGAGCTAGGAACAAGCCTCTCTCATCCGGCTCCCATTTTGCTTTCATTTCCTGCCCTGTCCCTGCCCTCAGCGATGACTGTTTTGAGTGGTGACTAAGGAACTGGACTTGATGAGAATATGATTGATCAAAAGATGGACCAAAGTAGCGTGTTTTACACAAAGCTAAACGATTCCAAAAACCAAGAAAGGAAACTTAGAAAACAAATCAACTACTAAAGAAACCACCACTGTCAGAAACCAGAAATTGACATCAAAACCTCATGCAGAAACAAAGAGGAAGTATTTGTTGCTGTTAGGTTTTATCCTTGGTCTGTTAAACAAGAAGTGAGCAGCTAACTTTCAAGAAACAAACAAAGAATTCAATCAAACCAATGGAAATCAGAAAAGAAAGGGAAGACAAGCCCAGAGTGGCAGAGGGTACTTCATACGATACCTAGGTTAACCATGAGCTTGACACGCCCCCCATCCAGCTCCAGGCGCAGCGTGTCGGCAGAGTCCCTGGACGTGGTAGCCACCAGCAGCCCATAAGCTCGCTGGGACATGAAGCGAAAGGACACATCCTCTGCCTCCGTGTGCATGACCATGGGCATGATGATCTTCATGTACATGCTGCCGTCGTAGCTCAGGATGGACGCCTCTGCCAAGGAAGAACGGAGAACATTGTTAGGAAGAAGGAAGCTCAAGCTTCCAACCCGCGCTCTGCTTCTTTGCTTCCAGGCTGTGAAGACGGCAGCCAGGTGAATTCTGTTCATGGATCCTTATTGTTGACACGGTTTTTCTTTTGTTGTTTCGTGTTAGAGATGGAGAGGGAGATAGAGGGAGAGGGAGAGAGGGAGTCAGACAGACACAGAAATCACGCACTGGTTCACTTCCCAAATTCTCACCGCAGCCACAACTGACCGGTGTCAAAGCTAAGAGCTGAACACTTAATTTCAGCCTCCCACATGGGTGTCGGGGACCCAATTATTTAATCCATCCTCTTCTATCTCCCAGAATTTGCATGAACAGGAAGCTGAAGTTAGGAGTGAAAAATGGGCTCAACCCCAGCCCGTTCAGAGTGGAATAAGGATGCCCTAACTGGTGCTTAAACACTAGGCCAAATGTCCACCCCTGCTGCCACATCTTCACTGTGTGACCTGGGAAGACCACTGAAGTTCTAAGCCTCTGTTTCCCTGTTTATGAAGGGTGTGTAATGCACTGATCCAACCCTGTCATGCTCACAGACCTGTCAAGGCTACCAACATAAAAAAAAAATATGTGAAGGAATTCTGCAAAAGTGGAAATGCTCCCCACAAAATAGCAGGAACTCTAATTCTGTATACCACAGATTTTTTAAACAAGAGTATATAAAATAAAACTTAGAATCTATATAAGAACTTTATGAACAATAGAAGGAGAGCAACAATGTACAATGCAACAGCAGACAAATAGATATTTGCCAGAGCTTCTAGAAGGAGGAACAAGCTGCAGCACCACCTCGCACCCAGAGCATCCCTTGTGACCAGGCATTGTGAGCTTCTGCTAGGCCTGTTTAAAGAAGGTTGATAGAGCCAGACTCAGAATAATAGAACCCTTGAGTAACTCATTTTATTTTTACTCAAATAACACTAAGAAAACTCACTTTTACCTACTAACAGGTCCAGTCCCAGCACTTTGGTTAGGAACCCCCTTTCCAATATTTTATCTCCAAACTGCAACTATCCCTACATTCAAACAAGAAAAATCAAGGCTCACAGAGGGGGTTTTCATTATCCAAAATCAGACAGCTTGGATTTTGACCCAGTATTTCACTATACTGTGATGCTCTACAAGCAAATTTGTTGAAGCAATGATTTGCCAAATATTTTTAGAAAGAGCAGAAGGAGAAGTTAAAGAAATTCAGTTTTCTATGAAGCTAGCCTGTTGCTGGGCTCAGTATCTGGTGTTAAGTTGTCTTGGTTAAATATTTGCTATTGTCAAATAGTAGCAACATGCACAGAAATGATTATAAAAATAAAACAGACAAGTTTCCTGTTTTAAAAACAGGTCTAATATTTAAAACTAACTATCAAAATAGAAAAATGGTCAAACAACACAGAAAAAGATATACAAATAATGTCAGTGGCATTCAGAGACGAGAAGCTGTAGGCTGAAGATGAGCCAAATCAATGGGGATTGTCTAAGCTGGTCTTGACAGATGGGCGGAGTTTGCAATGGGGGAAGTAATGGCATCAGATCTGACAGCTCAATCAGATAGCATCTCCATAGCTATAAAGCAAAGGAAGAGGATGCTCCAGTAATAAGCTATTCAATTTGACAGAAGCCATCAGACCAGCATTTTGGGAAGTAGTTCCCTACCTGCAGTTTGAGGTTGGACTAAAATCAATGGTTGAACTTACTGTGTTAGGCACTCTTGCAGGTTGAGAACATAACAGTGAACAAAAAGACAAACACTCCTGCCTTCGTGTATGGAAAAAGATGGAACAGGGATAGACAAGAGTGAGTCAGACCACTTACAAGGATCCCAAAACAGTCTATGTTCTCATGACTTCTCCATCCTACTGACACAACACACACAAAATTCTGTGAAAAGCATAATAATGGACTTGTGTTCCTGGAAAGCAACCATTCCGCAGGAAAAACCTGTGACATGCTAATAGGTGTACACTACCATCTGCAAATTCTAAGGGGATTCCAGATAAAAGTGTGACACATAACAGATGCCATCACAATAAAAGACATGTGATGAAGATCTGCTTTTAGATGGGAAGCATATCCTAAATTTAACAGGTGTGGAAAAAACCATTTTATCTCCTAGAAGAGCAGAATCAAAACACAATCAATAATGATAAGCCAGAATTTACTGAGCAGTTATTATCTGCCTGGTTCTCAAGCACAACATGAGCAAGACTTTATATTTTATAGATGCTAGGTCACATGGCTAATAAATGGCCGAGCTGCATGTTCAATAGAGGTGCTCTGTTTCTCGAGGAGGTACATATAACCATTGTGCTAAGCTGCCAGACAGCCATGGCAGGAGGACAACCATGATTTTAAGCACCAAAGCCTATCTATTATGTATCATTGTGCCAGGCAGTACTCACGTGTATGTGTTTATGTATACATACCCAAATTACTAGTATTTAAACTCATTTTGTACACATACTCAAATTACTATTTAAACTCATTTGTATACAAAATTTCACAAACCTAAGTATTTCATATTTCTAAATAGGACAATCTATCTGAATATGCTCTGTTTGTGTAATCAGGAACATGATTAATCATTACTATGCATTTTTTTTTAAATTTTTTGACAAGCAGAGTGGACAGTGAGAGAGAGAAAGACAGAGAGAAAGGTCTTCCTTTGCTGTTGGATCACCCTCCAATGGCCGCCGCACTGTGGCCAGCACACCGCGCTGATCTGATGGCAGGAGCCAGGTACTTCTGGTCTCCCATGGGGTGCAGGGCCCAAGCACTTGGGCCATCCTCCACTGCCTTCCCTGGCCACAGCAGAGAGCTGGCCTGGAAGAGGGGCAACTGGGACAGAATCCGGCGCCCCGACCGGGACTAGAACCCAGTGTGCCGGCGCTGTAAGGCGGAGGATTAGCCTATTGAGCCACGGCGCTGGCCATTACTATGCAATTTCTCTATATATATGACCACACGTATGCACGCTCCTGTTTGAGATAGTAGGATATTAAGTGAGCCATGAAATGGTGATTTTGATGCACTCAGCTGAAGAATATTCCAAAATTAATGGCTGCTTTTGTTCTTCTGGGTACATGTAGTGCCAGCACAACAAATGAGTGCATCTTTATGTCAATATTGGTGGTATCACTGAATAAATATCAGGTGAGTTTGTACTCACACATCTAATGATAAAAAATAAAATGTTATCTCAACATGAACCTCTGTGTGCGTATTTCTGAGTGTGATCTATTGTTAACCTAATATTTTTAAAGGGAGGGTGATGAAGCAGAAAATTTAATATAGGAATCAGCTAAAATAAAATTTGTTCCATGGATTTGTATTAATTCGCATAAAAGATTTCAAGCACAAGAAGTGCCATGAATAGAAATCCAGCTTCAGGGGGACAATGCAGCTCTTAAATAAATAAAAGCCAGGTGATCTACAATCTCTCCGATTATAAAGTACAGGGAGACCATATAGTGTGATGCCCAAATAATGGTGCTTCCATTGTCCCCCAAACTTGTTCCTCCCTTTCTCCTCTAAAAAACATCATTTGTATAGAGTTAATCTTATGTGTATAAAGTTCATTGAAAACAGATCTTAGTGAAAAATAAGAATGGGAATAGGAGAGGGAGGAAGAAGAAGGGTGGGTGTGCAAGTGGGAGGGCAGGTAGGATGGGAACAATCGCTATGTTCCTAATGTAGTATTTATGAAAAGTATGAAGTCTATATCTTAAATAAAAGGTTTCTGGGTAAAAAAAAACAAAAAAACAAAAAAACAAAAAAACAAAAAAAATCCCTCTCCTTTATTTGTAAATGAATGTTTTCTAGCATACAAGCACACAATTTTAATTCATTTAATGATTTTTGTTTTTATCTTTTTATTTATATTACAAGAACAAATTTTATGTATTTCATATATTCAACCTTAACAGCATGATTTTTAATTACCTTTTTGAGATATTTCCTTCCTAGTTGCTATACAGCTCACAATATACACCTTAATTTTCCAGAATCTACTTCATCTTCACACTAACTTAGTTCCAGTTAGATATAAAAATCTTATCCTTAATTAGCTCTCTTCCCTTCCTCCTTTGTTGGTTGCATCATTCATATTATATCTGTATGTATTACAGACCCAAAAATGCACTATTATAATGATTATCTTATAAAAACTTCTCTCTTTTTAAGAAGCTAAGAGAAGAGAGTTCAGAATTATTTATAGAGGTTTTTGTTTTAAAAATATTAAGCTTATTATTTCACATCTCTGACTGTGTTCATTTCTTCCTGTGGATTCAAGATGCCATCTGGTGTCATTTTCCTTTCCCAATGTAACTTCATTTATTTGTATTTTATTGTCAAATATATTACAATTCTATGTGCTATAGGCGCAACAATATAATTTTATAGATAGTTTTGTGCAATTGCTTTTTTAAAACAGAAAAGAAAGAAAAATAAATGTGTAATTATATTGTTTTTATCATTACCTATATAATTACCTTTATTGGAACCCTTTTTTCACATAAATTCAAATTACTCTCTGCTTTCACCTCCATTTAGCCTGAAGATTTCTTTTTACAAATTCCTGTAAGGTAGGTAAAGTAGGAATGAATTGTCTGTTTTTGTTTATCTGGGAATGTCTTTATATTGCTTCATTTTTGAAAGACAGCTTTGCTGGATGTAGGAGTCTTAGATGACAGTTATTTTTCTTTTAGCATCATTATTTTGATATCATTCTATTACCTTTGGCCTCCATTGTTTCTGAAGCATTTTTCAGCTATTCATGTATTATGGTCTTGTGGATCAATCATCTGCCTTTCCGCTACTTTCAGGATTTTCTTTATTTTTTGCTACCAACATTTCTATTATAATGGGTCTGGATGTAGAACTCCTTGAAATTATCCTACTTAGAGTTCAGTGAACACCTTGGATGTGTAGATTAGTGTTTTTCCACACATTTGAAAA